CAAACAATTAGTGACGGAGTAAAATGGATGTTTGAAAAACTGGAAATCTTACATATTATTCTGATTGAAAGCACACTAATTTATCAATTTATTCTGCTGCAGAAGTAGGTGGAGTGTATTTTAATGACAGCAGTAGACTTCAATTACATAAGTAGGCAATTAAGGAGTGATGCAACTGAAGGTCCATTATGTTGTGAATTACTGAAAGAACCGCTGGTGTTGGCACTCTACAACTAGTACTTCTGAGGTGGCTGGTTAATACAATGAGCGTGAAAAGACTTGATCAATCGTGTTCTATTGTTCCTGTCGCTCAGTTCTTTAGCAGGATCGTTTACATGTAGCACTGTTCTTGAATTATTTGTAACCACTTCTCGGTATTACTTAATAAGGATATATTTAATATTTCCCCATCAATGTGTAACAAACTAAAAGAGCCAGAACCAGCGGTTCATCTTCAGCTATTTATCACTTCCTAAAGGGTGTGTTAATAGCTGTAAAACCCTACACCCTCCTAATTGCTATAACAATGGCAATTGGTGCTGAGATAAAGCTGAGGGTTTCAAAAACAAGACAAAGTAATCCAGTGTGTAGTCACTGACTGTTCTGCATGGGTCCTGTAGACTATCTGGCTGAATTTCTCAAGTTGCTAAGAGTCAGTGGTTAGAACGTTAAAGTGAAATGATTCAAACTCGATCGTGTTGGTAAAGATGTATTCACCCTGAATAATCTTTTGGTTCACCTCTTAAACATCTTCATTCATACATTGTTTCCCTGTCTCATACCCATTTTTCCTATTTGACTCAACTGATAGCTGCTACCTTGACATGATGGTCAGGCTTGCATATCACACTGATCTAATGATATAAGTTGATGGAACGCTTGTTTTCTTGATGTCCTATCATGCCTGAAAGGTCTGTTGGATAGTGGCAAGACAAAAAGCAGTTACTGTAATAGTGTATTGTATTACACTACACTACTATTGGGGGGTCCAAGAGCGAGTTCGTACTGCTACCTGGACAAAATATTTCTTGTGAACCAGTATAGGATGCTGCATTCCAAACAGAACTGAGAAGCTTAGAACAGATCAGAATCAAGAGTAGAACATTCTCATTTATCCTGAGGTCTCTTGGTGTCAACCTTAACGGCTTGTGGCTGGATTCGAAAAAAAAACAACTAAAATCTCAACTTCCAGAAGGTCGCGTCTACAGGCCTTAAGCGGAAGTGACATAGGCTGTGTGGTCGTGCTCCACAATTATTAGTCGGAAATTATTCTACAGGCACCTCAAGCAGAAATAAACTTGCGCAATATGGGTAGCCCGTAAGTATCAAACGTCCTGACAACTTCGTCAGCACTCAGATTCCCTTAGATGATTTTCAGCCTTCAGCGTCTTTGGCTTCTAGTATTTCTTCACTACAGGTTTCTTAAGGTATGTTGCTCAATGTCTCCCACTTTTTCATGATGATTGACGTGAAGATATCCTCTGAAGTTTCGTCCTTCAGTTCAGTTTCTGTTCTGGGTGTTGAACTTGAATTGTGGTCTATCACCAATTTCTTTGAAGGGTTTCAACTCGATTTGGAAGGTTCCCTGCACTAGATAGTGAGTGGTGTGAACCTACATCTGCTCCTTTTCTTGATCTGATCTTGTCTCCAGTAGGCTGCGTCTCCACTTTCTTCACACTGAACTGAAGTCAATCTGATTTTTAGTGTGTCCTGGTATCTAGTGAAATCCATGTCACTTTGTGAATATCTTTGTGTATGATTGTGACTTTCCTTCCTTTTGAGTTCAAACTTGCTGTCATGATCCTGATCCTGCATAAGATTGGTTCCCACTGCATGAGAGCCTTCGATGTTCTTGGAGACATAATGACAGCCACTCCAAAACTCAGTGTGCTCATGGTTGTCGTCTGGGTGACAATATCGGAGTAGATTATTGACTCTCCAGTTAACAGTTTGCAGAGTCCACTCCCGTTCCATGTACTTTCGCAGACTCCGAGCACTTCCATGCCATACCTTCTGATTTCTTTTGCAATCTGTGCAGCTTTGCTAGATTCATACATGTTGCGGACATCCCATGTCCCCATTCTCACTTTCGAGAGGAGACACATCGGCCGACTGGCTTGCGAAGGCTTTCACCAACCGGCGTCATTTCGTCTCTTCGATTCAGTGAGGGATAAGTTTGTTTTTATTTTTAGATTTTTTTGTGCTTAGAATTTTGTTTAGCGGTTGGATTGGTTTTACGGGGTAGGGTTGCTAGCCCTATGTCCAACCTTCCCTCTCTATCCGGGTTTATAGACGGGCTAGTAACTAGTGAACTAGTTAACCAGGCGAGGTTTCGCAAACAGGATAATTTAGATATACAAATTAAGCTACTACCAACATTGCAAGAAGCATACTAATTATAAACATTTTTCTACAAAACACTAAGATGGAACTCGCCCGAATTATGTGATGCATTCGTGCAGCACATTTCGAACAATCTGATCACGCACGTACTCGTCACAAGTATTTATATGGGACTTTACAAGGCTATGAGGGATGACATTATGAAAGGGGTTGAGTAGGAAGGCTGAATTAAAGGCCAAATAACGATGAAAATTAATTGAGCGAAGTGATAGCACATCGCAGTGTTGGATTCACCAAGGTAGGTTGAATGTGGCTCAAACTTCTTAATGACCAAGGGCCTTGTTAAATTTAAGGATCCGTCCCCAATCACTTTTTAAAATATGTCTAATGGCCTTAGAAACGTCAACTTCGTGGCCTGTCTCAACGATAAGTTTTGCAACCGAAGAACTTGGGCGTCTGCTACCGAAGTTCATGGGTTCGGGCGATTTGATATGTTTGAAGCCACTTTGGAAAATGGTCTGAGGATCTACGGATCTATAAGTTCTCCCTATGCATGCGTGAGACAGGTCACACGATTGACGTTGCTACGTCCTCTAGACCTGTTGGGATGGATCCCTAAGTTTGTCAAGGCCTTGGTCATTATGATGTTTGAGTCACCTTCGTATGTCTAAAAACTTATCACATTGAACCTTCCTTAGTGAATTCAACTCTGAAACCAAGTTCGATGTACTTTTACTTCGCTCTATTGATCCTCATTGTTTTTTGGCTTTTAACTCCGCCTTCCTACTCGACCTCTTTTCATATTCTCACCCCTTATCGCTTTATAAACTTCCATATAAACACTTATGACGTATACGCGTGTGATCAGATTGTTCTAAATGTGTTGCACCAATACGTTATACGATTCGGGCGCTTGACGCCTTCTAATAATTTTGTTTAGAGAGGGACCTAGTTGTTTTAAATAAACATATTTGTTATAAATATTTACACAATTAATGTAGATATCAATAAGTAGCAAACTGTTTACCATGAAAATTTTCTAAGACAGCTAGCTAATCTAGTTCACCAGTGAACATGTGAATAAACAGCCTGATTTATGGGGTGAGGTTATTGCGATACGGTAACTCGATATAAAGAGCATTTTTGTCAAGAAAAAAATCATTGGTTGCTTTCATATATTATCACACCCAACGTGGCAATATTGTGCGATAGATCACAGCACTGAGGGCTTTTGTACAATAACATGATCACAACAGTAGTAAAACTACTGCTATAATATTTTAAAATTTGTGGGAAATTTAGTGGTATGTAAACTCGGAGCATTAGATTTATGGAGTAGTAACCTGACGTTTTAAATTAACGAATAACCGATCAAGGTGTCAAAGCAATTTACAGAGAATCATCTTATTTTTGAAATTGCAAACAAACACCTAAATGTAAACACGAACAAGTACAGTTGAGTCTATTCTCATACTATGAACTACTCATAGTTTACGTAAGTTTGAAAGTGTATACAAAATCTAGTTTCATAATGTGAAAATGAACCTTTTCTGAATAGTAATCTCAAAAACATTTGCTTTCATGTAAATATAGCAGTTTTTGAAACTACAGGTTCCCCGTCTACCATAATGTAGATTTTAAAGCACTAAATTAGAGCGAACAAAGATAGTTTTATTATGCATATAAAATCTCTTATCAACCGTCATATACAGAACTGATTTGAAGTATTTGTTTAAGAATTAGGAAACGTTTCACAAATATACTTAGTTTATGACTACTGAACTATGTCGTAGATGACAATGAGGGTTGATGAGATATTCTTGGGATATTAACCATTGGTGTTTAAGATAGTTGACGAAATGACTTTAAGTTTGGTCACTTTTATTTTCTAGGCTCCAAAATGCTTGTAAATAGTTTTAAAGCTGTATCACCTTTTAACCACCGTCTTTCTTTATTCAAAGGGGTAAAAGGCTGAAATATCACTTTCTCAAACTGGTTTTTTTATTGAATGAAGGCATAAAGCGATTGGTAACTTTCATCTCATGAGCAGATACATTGAGACTCGTAGGTAAGTGGATTTTAATATTACTTATGTGAAACTATTTTATACTGACTGACTATCAGAGTCATCAGAATCTCCTCGAAAACTCATGTGATGATCAAAATGGACATTGAACACATACTTGTTTCAGGATAAAAACTTTATGCACTATATGAAATAAATGAAGAATTATCGGGAATGTCAATGAATTATTCTCGCATGTTGATACGATTATTTCCATTTTTTGTCATCATGAATTCTTTTTGGTATGGTGAAAATACTACGTGATAAAAAGCCTCACGAAATCTAATTTCCACATCAGTTCATGTGGTAGACTAGATTGATGAAAGTGAGGATCATAGACAACAAGTAATCATGTGGAGGGCCCATGACTATCTATGACTTCTAGTTGATAACTTTTAAGATAAGCAACGGTATCCTCTTGAATTACGTCTTAGGTCATGTGTAGGACCATGACTCGTTCGTTGTATTAAGCCACTGATTAGCAACAAGTCCAGAGTTAAAACCCCAATCCACCCAACAACATTTCGTTAGGAGTGGAGAATCATTGAGTCATAATACGAAAGGTGTGACTCATAGCACAATGCACAAAAGTTCACTTGATTATTGGTTTATACCTCTCATGATTTGGATCTACAGAAAAGAAATTATTAATGATCATGAGACTTACTTTTTCTTGAGCTACTTTGTCAATGGCATCATTAATCATAGCTTGTATACGAGCTTTGTCAGCTGATGATCTGTAAAAATAACATAGCTATATTAGGACAATGTACCAAACAAGTTATTTTATGGAATTTAACATTTTTGGTATGACAATTATGATTGATAATCTCAATAATGTCTAGTTACGAATCCATAGTATCAGAGAATTGTTTCATTCAAAGAATTGAAAACAAACATCAGTACACGGTTATATAGTGCTGTTTTTACTGTTCACGATACCAACTTGAATAACAGAAGCAAAGCACTTAATCTTCACATTCCAATGAAAAATAACCCGTGACAAATTTTTAACCTATATTGTAAGAAACGACCAAGAGTGAGACGCAGGACAGAATATGTATTATGACATTTTGTATAGTACTGATGAAATATTCTACACTACATTACATTGTCATTTGCACAATGTACTCCATTTCCTCTTCTTCTTCTATCTCCATTTACTCATCATACGCCCACACTCTCTTATGTTTTTCTGTGCAGAATGTTTATCCATCGATGATAATTGCCTATGACGTCTCAACACATATTACTTACTTATATCCATTCTTGTCAGTAGCACCCACTACAATATTACTAGTTGGCCGAATGATAGCTTACATCATAATAGAATATTTTGATCAATAGGATCATATAACTGTGCAAAGATGTTGTAAATATGTCTTACTTTTACGTAATAATTATTTTGTATGGTGAGTTGATTCAAGTTGGGAAATGCTGTGGACGAGTATTGGTCTCGAGTGATTTAGAAGATAAAGTCCACTCAATATCATGTAGTTTAAAATTCCATTGTTTTCGGAACTCATTATCCGGTTAGACTGCCAGAAGTAAGTAATATGTTGCACTGTTTTATGCAAAAATTTTGACGTTTAAACAAGACAACATACTCGTAGTGTGTTACACAGCGCTTAAATGAAATTAGGCGACTTGATTTACAGAAGGTAAACTTTAGGTTGCTTTTATCCAAAGTAATTACTTACATAGGATTCGCTGTACATGCAGTATCTGGTGAACTATTTCTAGACTTTATTTCATTCACTGCTTGGTTTTATATACTGGTAACACCCACTAGTACAAATATATAACAACTGGACTACAGGCACGACATAACTACTCAATTACTCTCCTAACGTTTTCCATTATAACCACCTTAGTTTATAAAACTCACTAATTAATGATCATTTTAAATAAGGTAAAACTACTGTGAAATAGAGGTTGGTGTGAGAAACTTTGCATTGTCACACTGAACAACATGAGATTCATCTTAAAACTTTTTTGAGCCATCTGAATAGTAGGCATCCCTCCTTGCTTTTATGCATTGAATCTTGATGAATCAAAGTATCACGGAAATACAAGTAATTATTACCTGTTTATGTCATAAACCCTGATCTTATCAAAGATTCGAAGGGTCAATAACCTGAATGGTTTAGAAAACTTCAGTACTGAAGTTAGCGGTGACGATGTTGTGTAAAAAGACAATGAAAGCTTCTCGATTGAACCACTCACGTCAGAGAACACAATCAAACTTTACCCGTTCGTGAGACTTTTCCATAACAATGCATTTAAAGCCCTATAAAATGTTAAAATATAACATGAATTACTGTTTAATACTTGTAGTTTCCCGTTTCTATACATGGTCGAATTGCTCGACCTCTGAAGAGCATAGGAGGTCCTATGCGAACGCCTTGATACTGCCGGTATTCATGATGTTTTATTCATCTTGGTGGCTTACAGAGGAATCCAAAACACACGCTCTGTCCTATTTGAGACTCTTTAGCTGCACCCCAGTGAGTGATGTTGTTCCTGCCGAAACTCGAACCCGGGACTGATCGCTTCAAACGCCAAAGAGTTACCCACTAGGCGACTGGGGACGAGATATACCTCTTTTGCAACGGGTGTCAGCTGACGAGCCCCAAATAGGTAGGAAAGCGCATCCTGGATTCCACTGCTAGTCACCAAGATGAATACATCATGAACTATATTGAAATCTAAATTTCACAAGATAATAAAAATATGTAACAATACTCCAATGGGAAGGTTGCAAACCTGAACTGCAGATGACTAATTCCTAGAGCTGAAATGAAATTCGTACAGCTTGAAGTGGTGCTTTTACACAACAGTAGTCGTGAGTGTTCAAATGGCTGATGATGACTATCCACTATTTGAACTATTATGTAAACCGTTTACGAACCGTATAACGGTAGGTCAGTAAATTCGACTGATTAATCAGTTTATGCTTTGATTGATAGTTTCAATTCTTGAGAGAAGTTTCTTCTGGGAGGTGAATAGTAAATGATACAAAATTATCATCAACAGATAAATGGATCATTAACAAACTTACTTATCTTTACTCATTAAATCCAATAATCCAAATATAGACTGATCAGTATTGGAAGATTCTAGTGTGGCAAGATTATTTTCTAAATTATTACGCCGTCGATTAACTTCAATTAGTGCAGTTGTCGCTTTGACAAGTGGATCATCAGGTAGATTAGATATTATTTGAGAGATTTCATTTGACGGTGTCATTGATTTACCAGAATATTCCATTGCAAGTCGAATACTTGGAAGTAAACTACCGGGACTGAGTACAGGTTGGGAGTTTGAAAGCAATGAACCTGGATCCATATTCTAATGAAAATTATTCGAGAAGAAAACTCACTAAGAGGTTGTTCTTAAGTATGCTATAGTTGAAGTTCTCATTCCTACAATAGACACACACACGTGTATTTAGACTTGTTTATAAATATTTACATTACTCACTGGTGTAATGTTTGCATTTTTCATTGTAATATTCCCATGACAGAGTCGTCAAAAGTATATGTCTTGACGACGGATATTCAATCATAAGTCTAGCGTTTTAGGTCGCATAAGGTTTCCTGTTGTTGATTAGCAGTATCACATTGTCCTATCCATTATTAATGGAATGGTTTACCCCACAGATTCTTTGGTACACCTTTCAGTATTATTTTCTTAATAATTAATAACAATCCAGCCTAAAATTGACTGACAACTGCATCCAAGATTTGGATTTTGATGGACGTGGACGTGAGTGTGTCATTGGTTGTGTTTGTCGGTTTGTTCGTGATCCTTGTATTAATGGTAGAAGTGATATTTGTGGTTGTTGTTACAATTTTGGTTGTCTTCCGGTTGTGTTGTAGGCCTTTCGTGGGTATGCTGGTGAGAATGTGTGTGTGAGTGGTGTGCTCAGTGTGTAGATTTGCTTAAATCCTTTTCTGAGATGGTGATCAAACAATCATAAATAGATCATTAAAGTGTGTATTGAAAACTACTTTCAGACTGACAAGTCTTCCCAAAAACATTTCATAATTGTGTATTAGCGACATTCTTCAAGATATACGTCCCAAAGTTCAGTGCAATGCTCTGAGATAAAAAATCTAAAGGTGAAATTGCATCGTGAACTAACAAATAAAAAATGTAGATCATCGATTTCCGAGTCAAGTGGCTAGGTAGTTAAACATTTATTGCAAAACTTGAAGGGTCTTAGATTTGACTCAGTATGAGAGTGTGGATGTGCAGTTCTGTGTAGTCAAAAATCTGGAAGAAAAGGTTGCTCTACGTTCCATGGATGGTAATGTTACTTTATGATAAAGATGATCTTCACATAAAGTTTTATTTCATGTATGAAAGTCAGATTTTTTATCTGACTGGTGTGAATTATCAGCTACTGAATTTTAAAACAAATAAGGACTGAACGACTGTTTCTAGTGAAAGCTCACCACAAGTTCTGCTGACAATCTTCAGAGTTCTATGCAATATTTGCATAGTCCTTTTTCCGCGACCCGGGAAAAATAAAGGGGAACAATAGGGAACAGGCAAGATGTAGGAGTTTATCAGACACAAGAGGAGAGGCTGAGTTATACCAGATACTTTCAGCTTCCTAATATAGAAGGTTAGGCGGAGAGTTGTTTTGGAAATTAGTAAGATATGGGAAGACCGGGAAAGGTTCGAAAGAAAACACACCGAGATAAATCACACTTGTAACATTCTCTAATGCACAACTATCAATACAACAGGAATCATGAAAACTAAGTGGTTTACATAGTTTATGTTCACGTCTGAAACTAAGGTTTATGGTCTGACATTTTTAAGAATTAAGAATAAGACCATTCACAGAGGACCATCGTCTAACAGTAGATAGGAAATCATTCAGTTGGGAACAATCAGCTAGAGATTAGATGGGTATGGAAACTGTTAGGTTATCAGCATACTTGATGAAATTGATACCAGCTACAGATGGTAAGTCATGTAGGAAGAAAGAGAAAAGATAGGGGGAAAGGATGGCTCGTTGGGGAACACCAGTCACAATAAGCAATAAAGTGGAATGCTTCCCTCTATGAACGGTATGTCGTCTCCTTTCAGAGATACAGGAATGCAACCAGATGATTATCCAGGACTCAGTATTTGTCCCGGTTAGCTTTTCCAGCAAAAGAGGTCTTGGGACAGAATCAAATACTGAAGTAAAGTATAAAAAGGCACACCTGACACATTCGGCACTTTACCAAGATCATAAGCAATACGGTGATATAAGACAGTGATGGGATCTAAAGTGCTTCATCTGCTTTTATATGAAAATTGGTTAGGGTCTCCGAAAGCCTTCACTGAGGGCTCGAGCACAAATATTATTAGCTTCTCAGTTATTTTTTAAGAACGGAGAGGTAACTGGAATCGGATGGAATTTCGTAAATGAGCCTGGAGTCCTTGACTTAGATACGGGACCCTTCTTGATATCTTTCCAGGCAGCTGGTGTAGTATTTTCTAAAAACGATCTGTTGAACATGTTAGCATGGCATAAAATAACAGCACACTTTGTAAATACGAAGCTTGACGTAACATCCGAACCTGAACGGTGTGAAGGGTCCAGGAATTTGAGACATTTGAAAAGATCTTTCGAGGTGAACTCTGGACAACTTTCTTCATTGGAAATACGTAGACAAGGTAGGATGGGATGCTATTTCCTGTCTCATTGTTGAACAGTAATCGTCAGCTGACTGCTACCAATGTCCCTCATTTTGTATACTGTTATTTGTTGTGTATTGTAGATACGTTATTCAGCCGCACAAGCCAACGAACTGTAAATCTAAAAGGTGATTGTCACTAAAATGGGCCACTTTAAAGGCCATCCTGGCAATTGCTGAAATAAACAATCAAGTTTCGGTATTCTGGCTAGAAAGTTTCTCATTAAACAGAGAAACCTAATTGATTATCTCGACAGTTGCTAAGGTGGCTTTTAAGTCACTCATTAAAATGGAGTTGCGAATATCTCGTAATGTGTTCAACTATGTCGGTGAATCGTGAGCAAAGAGAAAGCATAGGCAGGTGAAGCGTATAGGAAGTGAGTGACTCTACAGGCTACCGTACCATCAACTAAAACAACCAATCAAACATCTTGATTTTATGAGAATTCACCTTCCTAGCTGAAATAAAGAAATCCAGTTGGGCATTACAGTTGTTGCTAGAGTGACCTTAAAAGTCACGCATAGAAAATCATCATCATGTGACAGTGTTAACTTTACAGTTGCAGTATTGATTGCAAATCAAGTAAGACAGGCAGGTGTATCAGTTTGTTGCAGCTATAACAACTTTCAAACTTTCCCCATTGCAGTCAGTATTTGTAGATGTTGTAGATGTAAACGTTAAACCGCAGAGTAACATGTTCAACTCTAGTTGTTTTTCGTGCTACTATTGGCCCACAAAGTAGGGGTTCATCCTGTTACAATAAACCTGTTTATTTCTTTAGGCGGACAGGAAAAGTTATTGTTTCAAGGTGGCATTATATATTGCAATGACATCAGTTGGAGGACCATTAAAAACCTGGGAGCATTGGACAGCTGTCGGAAGTTAGGACGTGTAATCAGCGACGGCATTGGATGAAGGTCCCGCTATATTGCGAACTGACAGAAGCAGGAAAGTGTGGAGCTTTGGATTCTGACTCTGGATTTATGACTCGTCAGAAACCTGAAGGTCATGAACATGGGTTCGGTCCCTGCTTGGGTCATCTATACGCACTGCTGCGGAGCCCATGTTAAGATGAAACAGCTGTTCAATACTTGCAGGTTTTCAACCGATATCAGTTCATGATGAGTTCTACAACTTGAAATCAATAAATACCCACAAACCACCAAGATGAAAAAGTTACTTTTTACTTACCACTCCGTTTTCCGTTGGTACAGATTTCATGTCTGGTCTTTCAGTAACTTGATTACGAACATTCTGGAAAGTAATTATATTGTTAACGGTTGTGCACAACATAAAATATCAGTGATTGTTGGGTTTATATATGTAAGTAAACTACGTCGCAAGTTCTTTTGATGGACTGTCTTAGAAACTTAGTTGAAAAACGATTGAATCACAATATGCAATACTCGATTGTACAACAAACTGAAAGTGGAAGTGATACTGACTGTAGAAAATGACAAGACTATACCTCAATGCTAGTGAATACATATCTAGCCTTAGGGTAGAGGATTCAGAAAACTATTAGATTCACCAACAGCCATAAATCTATGCTGTCAAAGAAATAATAAATATTCAAAGCCATAGCAACAATTGTCTTGGAATAGACTGATCACTGAGTCTGATTTACTCATTATAAGCGAGACGAAAAAGCGAGAGGCACTCTCAGGCACCTTGTGCCCATTCATGTGTTAGGCAACGAGCCACACCTATTGTGTGAGAGCTAGTGATACTACCTAGGTGTTCGAACCGCGGTAGATAGAACGTTGTTCGAACCCGCGACCGACTGGCTGGAAGTCAGCTATCCTTAAGCCGAAGAGCCATAGCTCCAATTATTATAAGAATATACTTCCACACAGTCTCAAAATGTTCTTGTTTTTCTGAAAGGAAACAGTATACTCTCTATGAAGAGAGTAGCTCCAATTCATTGCTAACTGAAGCTGGTGTGCTTTAAAGTGGAGTACTTCCTCCGTTTCTTTTTTCGTTTTTTCCCATGATTTCACCTTATTCTTTTGAAACTAATTTTACTAAGCATGTTGATGACGGTTTGATGATGGTTTTTATCCCACTGAACTCTTACTTAGATTGCTCTGTATTAAATGGATTCTTGTCTTTAATTGACCAATGGTCTCTCTCAAATGCTCTCCAGTTAAACCCTTCCAAATGTCAGTCTTTTGATTTTAGCCTCAGGCATAAACTTGTGTGAGCTGCTTAAGTCTTATGACGTCTGTTGTAATGATAGTATTTCTGTAGAAGGTAGATTAAATGTTAACTATTTTGGATTGAGATTTACTTCTGATCTTTGTTGGTCATCTTGTATCTTGTTGACTTCCGAAAAAATCTTTCGTTCACCGTATTACATAGAGAAACTGAGGCTCTTTCGTATAACACAATCTCTACTTTTAGAATTTATTAATTCCTGAGTTTTACTTATTGTTTTCTATTGTTCCCCGTTAATCTTTTCTGGTCTACTAAAAATGAACTATGTTATATTGTGCAGGGCTTTGAAAGCTGTCAGTAGGGTCAGTGCTGTGCCTCTAGCACAACTGATTAACATTACTGTAGTTGACATTTAAATTATAACAGACGACTAGATATATTAATTTTAACTGACAATGAGCATCCACTTTATTCACAGCTTTCTCCTTGTATCTCCTCAGGGAAGACAGGACGAAATTATGTAAGACTGTAAGTTCATACAGCTGAGTAGATGAATTTGACCGTGACTTACCTAGCAAGCACATTATGTGACGAAAAACGTGTTAGAACAGTCAATAACCTCTCTCCCATATTTTCAACAACAAAATAAAATTTCCTTGTTATTAATATTCTTTACATAACTTAGATTCTTATAATACACCATTCGAAATGTTGTAAAGGGGTATATATATATATATATATATATATATATATATATTGCAACATATCATGCTGAGAATTCCAAACTGTACCAGAAATTGTTTGGAATAAAGTGATTATTATTATCATTACTATGGCCAAAAAATAGACAAGATTTTTCTGAATGTTTTGTTGTTTAAGTCATAGCAGACTATTTGACATTTTTTTGTTCCGGAATATCTTGTTGGGGTTTTCTAAACACACTAAGACTGTATGAAAGTATATTTTTATTATGTCAAGGAAATAATTTTCTCCATGTTTAAAAGTTTTAAAAACAGGAATCAACAATCTATTTCCTTTTTTTCAACGCATTCATGAGAGGATTACACAAATCTTTACTGTTTACCTGTTGAATTCCATTTTAGCTGTAAGTAACTCTAATACCAATTGTCTACAAGATTTCATGAAATGCAAGATTTTTCAAGAATCCTTTAAGTCATTCTATCTTCAGTCTCAGTAAACAGAAAAAGAAATCCCTTTAGTGCAGTTACCATTTGACTAAAGAAAACTGGAAACAACGAAACACATGTGCATGTTTCCATCACTAGCCATTACAAAACAAAGAACATCAAAGTGAAAGTTTTTATTCGAATAACCTATTACAGAGAATGTGACTGTGAAGATACTACCTTCAAGGGAAATCAGTTCATAAGGTCAACAAATAATAACATTGATTGGTAAACTGAGTTTCGCATTGCTGAGCTAATGCAGTAGACTTTATTTGAGACGGAACTGGTAAACTACGGCTGTTTTGTTGGACTATTCCCCTTAAAGTGCTGGGAAAAAACGATACCCGTTTATGAACTGATAAAAAAAACTTACGAGTAGCAATTCTTTAACTTCATGATAGATTGTGCGAAGTTCATTGACCATTTCTTTTGTTTCATTGAGCATAGGTTCTTCGTCACATCTAAAATACCAAGTGATATGACGTTAACTTTTTCCGACAAATGATGGATCTATGATTAAATGAGTCTAAATTATCAAAGACTGGAGTGAAACTGAGGCCTGATTAGCAGATCAGGTTAGAAAGAAAATTGGTTGAATGCAGGGTCAGAGTAAGAAGGACGTCATCGACTCCAACTCATCATTACTGCAAATTATAGCATAAGTATAATTGTAATACTTCACTCTGAGGTAACTCACTACGTCATACTTTCATCAAAAATAGTAACCGTACAAAAATTCATAAGTTAATAAGTAGGTAACTTAGTCTCATTCATCTATCATGACTAAATAACACTTTATTTCAGATGGGTGTTTGTGGGGATTTAGTGATTTTCTTTCAAGTTGGTGTTCATCATGAAATGGCATCCGTTTGAGGACCACTGGAAACCTAGATACACTGGACAGCTGTTTCGTCCTGGTATGAGACCCCTCAGCAACGTGCACCCATGACCCTGCAAGGTAACGAACACAGGACCTTCAAGATCCGTCTGCAGCACGTTACCTATGAGCCACTGGGTTGGAGTCCAATGGTCCATATTCCCATCACAATCACCCAATGTCGTCGTTGAGTATTTGGCCTGACATCCACCAGGTTTGTCCCACTGGTCACAACTCCTCATCCAATCAATCAATATCAACATAGGACCAGGCATTACTGCGTAACGGTCCGAGTTGCCACACCTCACGTCAGTTCATCAAGTAGAAAGGTAGTGAGGTGAAGGATGAAGATAAGTGAATGCAGTCAAAAGAAATATAAAGTACGAGAAGAAAGGAAAGAGGAGTGACAAAATGGTGAGATTCGGTATAGCGTTGTTAAGATGAGGATAATGTGTGTATACATCTGCGCCACTGACTTCGGTTCTGAGCCATATCACCTAGGGTCTCCAACCACTGGTTCCTCTTGTCCCGTGGACCCCAACCACCTAGTCTGCATCGTCCTACATGGCTTAAACCAACAGTCAGAGACTTCATACATTGGTGCCATGTTTTAGTCTGGCCACCTCGGGCCTTTTTCCAGCCTGGACCCACCTCAGCCAACATTGTGTGACGAGGCAATCGGTGACTAGGCATACGTAGTACGTGTCCCAACCATCTCAGTCGATGAAGGTTCACAACCTCGTCAACTGACTTACCTCTTCTCCCCAAAACTCTACACCTAACTTCTGCATTACTCACATGGTGACACCACGGAATACGTCCTATACTACGAAGGCAACGGTGGTCAAACACCTGAAGCCTTTTTATATGTTCCACTTTCAATGGCCATGTTTCACAGCCATACAGTAGAACAGAGCGGACTGCTGTGCAGTACACGCGACCCTTAATAGACAAACGAATATCACGGCGGCGCCATAGGTGGCGCAAATTGGCAAAAGCCAATCGAGCCTTTTGTATCCGTGCAGAAATCTCATCGGCAACTAACCCACCGGGTTGATCCTACTTCCCAGGTAAGTGAAGTGGTCAACACACTCAACCACTTCACTCTCTATTGTTAACCGCGGTACCGCTGAAGACCAGTCCTGGAGCAAAAATTTGCATTTGGGTGGTGAAAATCGCATCCCAAACATTCTCAAATTCCCACTCAAAGTGTTCAGAAGACTCTGCATCTTGTCAGCGTCTTCACCTAACAGGACTATGTCATCTGCATATTCTAGATCTAAGAAAATTCACCTGTGATTGGGTCAACGTCTGTGTAATTAGGTGACGAGAGGGAAACCTCCATAAGAATATCTATGATAAAATTAAATAAGAATGGGGATAGTGGGCATCCTTGACGGACACCACTTGATGAGTATAGCTCCCTGGACAACTCGCCATAGGCTCTAACATGCCCACAAGTGTTCGAGTAGAGAGCTTTCAATAAGGTGATGTACTTACTAGGCACGCCTTTCAGTGACAGACATTGCCATAAGACTTCTCGATCAACGGAGTCAAATGCCGCCTTCAGGTCGAGAAATACAGCTATTGTCGGGCGTCTGTAAGCATGCCTATGTTCCAGGACCTGGCGCAGTGTGAATATTTGGTCGATACATCCACGGCCAGGTCTAAAGCCTGCCTGGTTTTCTCGGGCTTGCTGTTCCCGAGCTCCACTCAGGCGTCGGAGAATTATAGAACTTAGGATCTTAGACACTATGTTCGTCAGGCTGATTCCTCTGTGGTTATCACAAGAGGACTTCTCGCCTTTCTTGAAGACTGGGATGATGAGTGACTTAGACCAGTCGGAGGGGATCGTATTTGATTCCCATATACTGGCTAACACTTCCGTTAACCTGACTAAGAGCACTCTACCACCATTCTTGTATACCTCAGCAGGTAGTCCGTCTGGTCCTGCTGCCCTTCCCGTTTCAGGCTACCTACCGCTTTCTCAACTTCTTCTAGTGTTGGGGGCCTGTCTCTATGTCCCATTCAGGGTCCGACTGGATAGCGGGCAGCGCAATCGTGGCTGGAGGCCAGTTAAACTGTTCCTCGAAGTGTTCTGCCCATCGTTCCAGTCGTCTCCTCTGCGAGTGAATCGCAGATCCGTCCTTCTCCGCTATAGCCTCACTAACTGTTGTTGACCATTTCCGCCCAGTCTCCTTAATAAGTCTAAATAACTGTCTACTGTTACCGATCGCCGCTGCCTTTTCCATCTCTTTAGCCTTCGCTGCCCACCACTGTTCGCCATCGTTGCATAGACTTTTTCTCAATCTACTTTTAAGTTACGCTTGTTCTTTATTGTACTCAGAGCCTGCAAGCAGGGATGCGTTCACGTGCATCCATTAGTTATCTGAGCATAGTTGTAATAGGCGATCACCATTATCTGTACGTTCAGCTGGGACTCCGAAAGTGCCACCTAAGTGCCTTTCTGCCTCACTCAGTCTACCCACCTGTGCATTGAAGTCACCTGCAACAACCACCACGTCCGAACGTTTGGCTTTCGAGAAGAGGTTAGACAGTTTACGGTAGAACTCGTCCTTCACTTCATCCGAGCTGCAGTCAGTGGGTGCGTAAGCACAGATAACAAAGAGACAAAGTCGAGTTTCACTATTCCTTTTAGTTCTTAGTGTGCCGTTCAGCCTCATAGCGCAGAGGCGACTATCAACTAGGATCCAGTCTAGTAGTGAGTTTTCTGCCTTAGTGCTTAGTGCTATGCCTACACCTGCAAGACCCCGAGAGCTAGCTATCGATCGAATCTCCAGAAACTCGAAGGGTGAATTTTGCGCATTCACCAGATTGGTCAGGAGAGGTCAGGTGAATAACCACACTTGGGTCCTGTATGCGTGTCTCACAAACACAGCACACATCCAAGGCCCGAGTTGCTAGAGTCTTTGCTGACGAAGCCTGTTGACCAATTTGACGGAAGGTGCGGACATTGAAGGCTCCAATATGTAATTTGGAGCGTGGTTTAAGGAGACCAGCGATGCTGTGGACTGTGGACTCAGATCGTTGTTGAAGGCTGCAGAGGTAGGAGAAATTGAAGATGATGCAGCATCGTTAATTGAGAGACGTGAAGGAAGATTAGAAGGTAATGATGGAGGAGGTGGATAGCAGTCAGAAGAAACTTGAGTGCTGAGAGAGTTGTGAGGGCGGTTGACACTTCCCGGCTGCCCACACCGTGGAAGGCTATTTCTTCTTAAGAGATTTGTGTGACCGCAGGGCCCATCGGGCATCTGCTTCAGGCCTGTCACACAAAGCCTTTTGAGTATGATTATTTTGAACTTCTGTATTTTTGGGGCCGGATGGTCGAAAGGAAACGACAAGTAAACCGACATCGCCGGCCCGGCAGACCGTGGGGCATGGTGGAGTGTGTTATTTTTAGGGCCGACCTTTTCTACCCCTCCCTCCACTTCCACTGAGAAGGCAGCATCAGCATGGCACTGCTGGTCATCCGAGGGAAACACCTTACTGCTGTCACACCCCATCCAGCTAGCAGCAGTACGACTTCGCCCTCAGACCCCCATCATAGTGTAGCAATTTACACTATAACGGTAACTGCTTTTCGTCTAACCACTATCCAACAGACCTTTCTGGTATGGTAGGACCTTGAGGGAACAAGCGTTCCACCAGCATAGCTCGTTGGGTCATAGTGATATGCAAGCCCGATCACCACTTCAAGGTAGCAGCTATCGGTCGGGACTTCTCATTGGAACTTTAGGGAGAACCTCTCGAAGTTAGTTACTAATGAGCACTAGATCAGGTGAGTTTGGGGGTTTATGTGGATTCAGTGATTTTTCCCAAGTTAGTATTCATCCCTGGTGGGGTCATGGGTGTGCACTACTAAGGAGTCCCATACTGGAACGACTCAGCTGTCCAGTGCTCCCAGATTCCCAATGTCCCTCCAACGGATGTCAGTCCATGATGAATATGAACTTGAAAAATAAAAAGCTTTATTTCTAAGATAAAGGTTGAGGATGAAAGTGAGACGTTTAGGATTTCAAATAGTTGCAGCAAAAAAGAATGCAACTACAATGAAACTGAAAAATCATACACGTTCACCTTCTGTGTGAGCACTAATGAACTTTCCAGGGGCCTAGGTGTCGTAGCTCAAATGGTATTCAGTCTTCTCCCATTGGTTGAAAACCGAGGAGTTAAGGCGATAAACCACAGTTAAAACAGAATACCGGATAAAACAGGTAAACATCATAACACGTTTACAGTGCCACCGCATTTTGCGACTTCACATCAGTTACGCTCATTGCTTGCTTTTAAATAACGCAAACTAATAAGCTTTGATTTTACGATACTTTCAAAATAATACTTAACCTTCACTTCTTTTGTATATTCATATATTCACTAACCTTTTGTCTTCAAATTCTTGAACTCTTGGATTTAAAACGATGTCAGAATTTCCCAAATAACTTTGTAATTTGTTGAGGGTAATTTCAGGATCATCGATATATCACCAATAATATTTGTGGAACTTTTTGGTCTCATATTTGTAAGTTCTAGTTGATTTTTAGGTTTCGAAATACTGTCAGTCGTTTTTAACTTGCTATTGGATGAGATGACTTGCTTTTGTTTGAGAAAACTGTTGTTTCTTTGAGATGATTCTAACTGCCTATCTGATAATTTCGATTCTGAAAAAGTGGAAGTAAGAGGTAATCATTAGTTCCTTGTTTCATAATCGGTTTAAATAACTATTTAAAATTATCAGTAGGTGGTAGTAGTTATCAGTTAGATTTTGGACAACGGATGTAAAATAAATATTTTGTATTTCTTTCGAAGTGATTCAGCCAACAAAATATCTTATACCTTCTTTAATATGTTGAGGCTGCTGGCATGTCTGAAGTTGCAGTAATATATTTTACAAGAAGCAGTTATCAGTCTTTCTTCATACAGTTAACCTAACTATTAACTATTCGTTTTTATCAGCTCATATAATTTGTATTTTATCAGAAGCATTGACACTACTATGGAGAGGGGAACTGAACAGTGCGTTTTTGAAATGAATGTAAAGTCTGTCATCCGTAACATATCCTATGCAGCTAGGATTATCAAAAAGAAAATGCTTCAGTGTATTCTCTAACATAGTATAACAGTTCGTATGACTGTGTGTGGTATCATGTGTAGGAGGAAGAAACAGAAGATCGCAGGTGAGGAAAGTGGAACTTGTGTCAAACTACCTGTAAAAGCATATGAGCCGTTGTTCCTTGATAAGTTACCGATGGTAAACTGCCATCTTCATCTACAAGAGTGACTTTAAACGCCAACTGCTGAAGTAACCAGTCAGGTTTTTGTATCTCGATTTGGTAGGTAGTTTTCGGTAAAATAGAAAGCAATAGTTTATCTCATCACTTGTTACAGGGTGGCCTTTAGTCATTCATCTACAGCCGAACAACCTACTGGAGTAGCTTTAAAGGACATCCTAACAACAACTTAAGTCACCAATGTGAGCTCTGGATTTCATATAAAAATATCCTTCCAGTAGAAACAAAGAAATACAATTGGTTATTTCAGTCGCTGCTATAGTGGCCTTTAAGGTGAGATGAGTCACAAGATTAGTGTCAATATGGGTTTAGAAATTTGGTATGGAAAGTGTAAAGGAAGTGTGGTAATAGTGACGTTTTGGCTTATACAAGTCAAGTCCTTTTTCCACGTTGGGTGTTAAGACAAGAATGACTTTAAAGGCCATCCTAGCAACTACTGTAGTAGCCAATCCGGTCTCAGTATTCCAGTCAAAACATCGTTTCTTATCAAACAAATAAACGTAATGGTCATCTCAGCAGTTGCCGAGATGGCCTTTAAAGGTGCCCTAAAAGACAAGCCTATCTTAAATCCACTATCTTTGAATACTCATGTTTATGCAGAGGTTGAATGAAATACAAATGACTTTAAAGGTCACTGTAACAACAACTGAAATAGCCAATTAAACTTCTCTATTTCATCGAAATCTGCTTTTCAGACGAAATGAAGACACCTGATTGGTTATTTCAGTCGTTGCCAGAGCGGCTTTTAAAGTCACCCTTAAAAACAGACCTATTAGCAGCAGGCCTGATAGTTACTAACCTGTGGTTCACATGATCCAATGCCAGGAAAGCTAAAGAACTTTTTCATTGGTTGTTTTCTAATCTATGCTGCCTTTAGTAAGAAATCAATAACACCGGTTGCCCATTTGGGTGTTGCTCTGACAAATAGAGACGCTGAGTGTAGTATGGGGGACTTTAGGGGGTGCCCTGAAACTGCTGAATTGACCAATCAAGTCCTGATATTTCGGCTAGAAATGCAGTTCTACATAAAATATAGTAGCCTAATCGGTCATCTCAGCAGTTGCTAGAGTGGCCTCTAAAGTCCATCGTTTTGTATGGGCGATACTATTTGGACTGTTTTAAGTACTATTTGGGACGCCATAGAACTGTCAGGTTGTGGAAATATTAAAGTAACAATCCTTTCTCTTTCTACGTGATCTAAGTATTCTAGTCCTAATTAATACAAGTTACAGTTATCATACTACATAATTAAGGAAATAGTACACATTTTCTCCTCATAGCCCTGATTGTTTTATTCCTCCTCAATCAACTTTCATAAAATACTCATTGATGGGTTAGTTCGTTAACAGGTTGTGTGAAATGTATTGCACTAATACACCAAATTCGAAAATAAAATCCATTTTCTGCTTGCTGCCCATTACATTATGACACAATTTACTCTGTTTTCAGCTTGTCGATATTTGTTGACCTATGTAGACTTTTGTTCGAAACACCGCGATACTTCACTAATATCCAGTATTAATTTTCATGAATTTCTGGTTAAACAAGTTATGTTGTTGTGTCTTCTTAAAGAACATTCAGAACTTTATTTCGGCCTACGTACTTCTTACTTTAACCTTATGGGCTCTTGTTGATATACTCCGTTTCCCGGTACTAAATTATGTTTTCGAAGAGATATGAGTTTTGTCATGAGTGTAGAGGAGTCTAGCCAGTAATTTCCAACAAGTAAAAATCTAGGATCCAGAGTTTACTGGCAGTTGACTCCTAACACATAACTAATATATGCTGTACTGTGATGGTGTGTATTACTCAGGTAGGCGGTCATATTGCGAACTTCACCAATGAGCCGTGATCAGTGCTGAGAACTTAAAACTTGGTAGATACATTGGTTATTTCGTAACCAATTTGAAAAGAACCGAAACAAAAGCCAAAAACAGTGATAGGGTATTGAAATAAACAAGCAAAACGATAGGGTGGGACAATTGCATCTTCAAGATGACGTAAAATATATATTTGATAATACTACGTATTTCGGATAACCTGTAGTGTCTAACAACCGATTGTTGGCTTCATAAGGACTGTGACCAGGTGTAGGCAACAACTCTCTATACAGTTTAGGCCAAAAGTTGGTGATATGATATACTGATTGCTTGTTAGAAGATAATAGATATGAAGATATCGATAAAAGAGGAATGTGCTCTTCGCTCTTTAAAAAATGATAAGAACATACGGGTTACGAAAGCTGACAAAGGAAACATAACCGTTGTCATGAATACATCAGACTATGAACAAAAGGTTACAGAGCACCTATCTAGTGGACCGTATGAAATGATAGAAAACAAGAAACGTAAGCCTACACTTAACAAGGTAAAACTGCAGGTCGACAAACTACTATACAATCTGAAATCGAAATTAGAGAATGCCTTGTGGTTTAATTTAGCACCAAAAAGTTATGCTGCTTCACGCTTCTTTGGCCTTCCCAAAATTCACAAACCCAATTTTCTGATTCGTCCAATTGTGGATTTTACGAATTCCCCAATATATAACCTTTCAAAGTACTTCACAAAATCCTTAAACCGTTACAAGACAATTTGGTAAGTATCATTAAAAACTCATTAGACTTCAAGCATAAATTATTACAAACAACGATCGATGATGAAACAATGGTTAGCTTTGACGTTGTTTCTCTGTATACAAATATTCCGATTGATGAAAGCATACAAAAGTTGTTAGGTTTTTATTAGAGTCAGATACTTCTTTATCTCTTAGAAGTAATATTCCCATCAGTGAAATCTGTGATGCACTGAGATTATGTCTAACCTCAACCTATTTTACTTTTCGAGGGGATCTTTATCGTCAAACCAGTGGGGTAGCAATGGTTTCACCTGTCTCACCCATTGTGGCTAATCTATACATGCACAAAGTAGAATCAGACCTACTTAACCAACATAATTTAAAACCAAGAATATGGTGGAGGTATGTTGATGATACCTTTGTCATAACCAAAAAGCAAGGACTAGAAAGTCTTTTTGAATACCTAAACAACAGTTTCAATTCTGTAAAATTCACATATGAACTAGAAACAGAATTCAGAACGTTAGCTTTCCTAGACTGCAAGACGATACGAAACAGTGATGGGACACTTGACATTGATGTCTATCGAAAAGATACACATTCTAACAAGTACCTTGACTTCGATTCGGCTCATCCATTGGAAACTAAATTAAACGTTGCCAAAAATCTGTTGACGAGATCGCAAAGGATACCAAATAAAGTGGAATCTCAGCATGTAGATAGGTGACTTGTTCGGGAAGCCTTAAGACAAAATAACTATCCAGACAAACTATTAAAAGGGATCGAAAAAAGTTTATCGAATTAAAATATGAAAAAGTCAAGCCATAAAGATTGGATAAGTACTATAGTACTTCCTTATTGAACATCCACTTCAGAGGAAATAAGACGTATCCTTAACAGTTACATCAGAGTATTCTTTAAAGTGACGAATGCATTACACTCACACCTGTGTAAATTAAAAGATCCGATTCCTCATTTCGAATAACATAACTGTCTATAAGGTAGACTGCAGTGAATGCGATGCCACATTCAATGGAGACCACATCAAGTAATAAGTCTAGCCGAACATGGTAAAAGTTCCAGAAAACCACCAAAAAATTCATATGATCCAGAAAAACTTGAAAAAACCTCTGCTATCGCGGCTCATGCCCTATATTCAGGTCATAAAATATCATTGGAACAAACCCCGACCGACAGCTGCTACCTTGATCGGGCTTGCATATCACTATGACCCAACGAGCTATGCTGGTGGAACGCTTGTTCCCTCAAGGTCCTACCATACCAGAAAGGTCTGTTGGATAGTGGTTAGACGAAAAGCAGTTACCGTTATAGTGTAAATTGCTACACTATGATGGGGGTCTGAGGGCGAAGTCGTACTGCTGCTAGCTGGATGGGGTGTGACAGCAGGTAAGGTGTTTCCCTCGGATGACCAGCAGTGCCATGCTGATGCTGCCTTCTCAGTGGAAGTGGACGGGAGGGGTAGAAAAGGTCGGCCCTAAAAATAACACACTCCACCATGCCCCACGGTCTGCCGGGCCGGCGATGTCGGTTTACTTGTCGTTTCCTTCCGACCATCCGGCCCCAAAAATACAGAAGTTCAAAATAATCATACTCAAAAGGCTTTGTGTGACAGGCCTGAAGCAGATGCCCGATGGGCCCTGCGGTCACACAAATCTCTTAAGAAGAAATAGCCTTCCACGGTGTGGGCAGCCGGGAAGTGTCAACCGCCCTCACAACTCTCTCAGCACTCAAGTTTCTTCTGACTGCTATCCACCTCCTCCATCATTACCTTCTAA